CAGATTTAGAGAACCACAAAACCAGGTAGAAAACAAGGATTACCCCAGAAATAACCTGCAAACTATAAGCTCAAAGTACAAACTACGAGTTCGCCTTGAAGTTAAATACTCAAGACAGCCGACAGCAAATACATACAAAGATGAAGCACGGCCACACATGCAGTACCTCTCTTACCACTCTGTAACAAAACAAACATGACCAGACTCCCGACAAAACAGAGATTCTGTTACTGCTCAACATGTGCACGCAAATACCATAAACATGTCACTGGGAAAGAATCGCCCCAACAGCTACATCCGCCGAGAAATGAAGCAATTTAAAAGCACAACCAACCAAATGTGATATTCATGATTTGGATTCCTCGCAGCGGCAGTAGCAGAGCCAAACCGCCCTGTCATAACTGCACAGACATGATTCCCGTTCATTTAGAGCAAGAGGGGAGAGGGCAACAGAAGGCCAGAGGGGTGCACATGAAGAGATCACACCCAGGAAGGAGTCAGGTTTGAGAAGGAAGACAAAAAAACACACACTGGGGAAAACAGAAGGGAAAGACAGGCAAGGTAAGGGTTGTAAAAAATGTGTTCATTGCAACGGCATATCTCATTTTGTGTGTATTGTTAAGTTATTTGACTGAGACAATACTTACATGTCGTCACAAGGATGAAAAGTTTATGGTTCATGTTGCGACTTTTTATGCAAAAGTGGATATTGTTTGCATATTTGACCTTGTATGAATCCTCACAGTGGTCTGTAGCAAGCTGGAGAAAGCAAATCAGTTTCTCTGAAGTGGAACCCTCTCAGAAAACAACTGTGATCCAGTTAGGGCACTTACAGTCACGAAAAAACAAAGTCAAATATGCAAAAATAGCTTCAAATAAACTTAGCTTAAATACACTTTTAACTACAATAATATATACATTTTTTTTGGTTATGAAATGAGCCATATTCATTTATTTAAACTAACATAAAATAGGAAACTTAAAATTGAGAATCAAATCAGAGCTTGAGAGAAATGCTACATCCGAACAAAAACCAACAACCATCAATGATTTTAATAACTGAATTTTCCAATGTATTCACAGTAACACACTCCAACACATGTACTCTGTGTGCTGAAAGAATAATCGCTATAATCGATTATCAAAATAGTTGTTAGTTCTTATAGCCATAATCACCAGCTTCCTCCAGCAAACCCTATTGTAGCTGCAACCTTGTCAAATAAAGGAACGTAGACAATCAAACATCCGTGCCGTATCCATAGTGAATAAACAGGGAGGACATTTACAATAGCCTGACTTGCAGTGAATAAACATTTTGCGAGGTTAAGGACAAAAGTCAAATGCTCATTGTACATTACAGGCTATATGGCTCAAAGTGCAGCGCTAAAGGCTGAGTGCTGGCAGAGTGTAGAAGAGACTGCCGCATCCCACCGACACTGGCTTGTGTATGCCACAAGCGGACGCCGTGTTTCTGCTGCTGCAAGTTGCTGTTCACACACATCCACACTCAGATCCTCAAGGAGCCTGGCACTGCTGCGATACATTCACTTCTCTGATCCACGAAAAAGCAGAGGAGCGGCTCAATGCTATTGTTGCAGATACACCCAGGCAATGAGGGAATGTAGCTTATGAGGTGGACTTAAAATAAATAATAATAATAATAATTCTCTGATCCCACAGTGACCTCATGGCTGAACATACTGTATCTCTACTGAAAAGCCTTTTTAAAGCAGGAAAGAATGGTAGTGGTAATGTTTCATGTCTTAATATTTGTATGTCTTTGTATGTCCCCATGTTTTGTCGCTGCTTCAACATTTGTATCACATTTGTATGTCTATGTGTCACTTTTGTATATCTATGTATCAATCTTGAATGTCATTGTATCACAAAGAAAAAAATAATAATTAAAGCAGGAAAGAAAGCAGACAATAGGAGAGAAAAAGACAAAAAGACCAGCTCATAATACAAAAAATGTGTCATCTGCATGTCAATAAAAGTGGCAAATGCATTTCCGTGTGAGGCCCTAGCAAACATTCTCAAACAACACTTATTTGTCAGAATTTAGAAAACAGATCTTGGCGCCAAATAGCTGATGCCTGAACCTGATTCCTGAGTAGGAAAAAGGCAAACTGGAACCCTGATGGCACACTTTCAGTGGATCTGGTTTGGAGAGGAACCCAGCAGGAGCAAAATAAGGAGTGCATGGTTCTTTTTTTCTGAGCAGAAGGAGACCAGGGGAAAGAAGCTGGTCTGCCAGGTGGCATGTGGAATACAAGGGTTGCTTTGTCTGTAAGAACCGGTGCTATTCTGTGTGTAGGAGGCAGCAGCAGAGAGGACCTGGTGCAATAAATGAGAAAGCTGGGATTTCCACCTGAGGCTATAGAGGTGGCATGCCTAGCACCCACTCGTGCACCATCCGACCTGTCCGCTGCAGTTACTGTCATTCTGTCCTGTCATTCCACTCACACAGAATCACAAATTAGCACCAAGACAGCTCTGAACTGTAAAAATAAAAGCAAAGGACAGCAGAGCCCGAGCTCTTTAGTGCAGCCCAGAGATTGGTTAAGTGTTGTCAAGCGGAGTGCAGTTCAGAGTAAGGACATGAATGCTCAATCACACTGCAGAGGTTTGAATTGTAGCAACAGGGGAGGGGGGTGAAAAAGTTAACCATAAGTGGAACCATCACAAATAGATCCATATGGTGAGAAATGACTAGAGAGTGAACAAAGTAGCATTGCACAAAGACAATATTCTCGGATAAGAATATCATATTTTATTATCCTTTAATCGCTTAACATTTATTCATGTACGATATTTTATAGTATTTTTGTTAATTCATGTTCTCGTGTATCTGTTCTTTATAAATCTTTAGCATGTTGAGGTTTCCTTGAAATGTAAGGTCCAAAGCATATAAAATGTATCATAATATCATTATAATAAAGATAATACCTATATTCCATTGTCGTTTTGGCCAAATAGGCTATTACTATAACCATTCAATTAATCAATCACTTTAGCGTCAGGATTCTCTGTGCATCTATGAGAATACTGTTACAGGTTTACATGCTGGAAGGAATTTCTGATTATTTGTGAAGCAAATAATTGGGAATAGAGACATGGTCTGAATGGGTACACTATGCAGGTTTTCTGGTAAAGTAAAGCATGTTGATTTTTCTTTGTTTTTTTCTTTTACTTTGAATAGAATACTGGGTGTCATTTAAGGCAAGGCAAGTTTATTGGTAATAAACCAAAGCATAATGAGAAATCCATTGATAATGCATCTTTGTAGACGGGTTTTAAGGGACAAAAGAACCCCAATTGAAAAATATAATTATAAAGCCATATTGTGGAACATTTCAGACAAAGCAACAATGTCTTATTTATTATGTATTACTCTATACACATATTGTTGATTTGATCAGGACAGACACAACCAACACAGATTAACATCTTGTAATTTTCTGCAGGTGATATGATGCAGTGTTTATAGCCATGGCTAATATGCAACACCAGTTCCTAAAAGGCTGCCAACAGATTGAAAGATTTTCATGGGAAGAAGCAGCTTGCAGTTCCTAAACTCAATTATACAGTATATGTAGATTTCTAACACTCAGCAATCAAGAAAATTCAGCACTGAAACCATAACGCACATTTCACATTATTGTATTTTTTTGCGTATATTTGTTTTTGCACATAGACTCTTTAGGAATCTCGTCTTTGTGAATAATTTAATAAATCTGGATTAACCAAAACAATGTGGTGAGTAGAACAGATGGGTCTAAGCTGAGTGCCTTGTAACTGTGGGCATTTGTGCAGCGCCGCCAATTCAGCTGACCTTGATAATGGGGACAACATAAGATTCAGCACCATGGACAGCACCAAAGCAAATAACACTATTCATATACTGGGGGAGAACAAGTTTACTCATTACTGAAAATAATATGTATGCCAAACCAGGCATCTGGTGAAAAATACGGGGCACTGTCGTCTGATGGCCAAGGACAATGCAGAAATCAACCCGGATAAAGGATTTTGGACAGTAAACTGCCAAGGATACAGGTAAATACTGAAAGAAGGCAACAAATAAATTACTAAAGCAATGCTAGTGTGTATTTATCTCTATTTGAAGGTTTTTTTTGTTACAAGAAGTATGGTATGAGTAGCATCGATGCCACAATCTCAGCTAGTGTTATGTTGCTACTCAATAATATTACTGATCTTGTAATATTACCAATTGTGTCATAATATATCATTCCATTGTTTTTTTATTGTTGTTTTTTTTCAATAACCATAAAACTTCTCAACAAAGATTCAACATTTTCAAATACAGAAGCTGAAATTACCTGTGCGACAAAAATCTCCTGCTCGTTATAGGAATGACATATTAGTCGAAGGCAAAGCATTTGGACACACAGTCCACAAGGACAAAGGATGCTCTCTTATGTCAGGAACAGCCATCAATATGTTGTTTCATGGCCAATGCAGATGTTTGTCATTCTAGACTATCTACAACTTTTGGAATCATTTTTGACAATTTTGTCTATATTCTATGTTATAGGTTTCGACCTTCACAGCTCTTTTGGAGACAGTTATTGCAATGATGTGTGTATGCATGTGTGTAACTCAACACACTATATCCTTCTCTTCTATAATGATTGTGTTAGTGCAAAATATAGCTCTACGCTGGATCTTGAAGGTAAATTACATGCAGTTCACTAACAGGTCCAGCGCATTATCTGTTAAATATAAATGAAAACACACATGTATGTGTGTTTATATATATATATATATATATATATATATACACACACACACACACACACACACACACATACATGCATTTTAATAAAATAATGGTAATATCAAAAATGATGCCTATTTGTTTGATTTTGCTACCCACCCTGCATAATCTACGATAAATCTCCTCAGCAGCTGCAAAGGTCAACTTAATCTGACATGTGAATGTGAGTTTTTCATGATGACTGCTGTAATGAACTTACTCTGCTTTTCGCGCTATTCCCACCGAGCGGCAGAGCGTGCTGGGGGTCTGCGGCACCAGGGACTTGCAGCACGGGCTCCTCTTGTCCTCCTCGTTGGTCTCGGGACTGGCCTGGATTCCTTTGGGCGACTGGGGCGAGGTTGGCACGAGCTGTAGCTGCTGAGGGTGATGATGGGAGGCGGGGGGCGCAGCGGCCGGGGCGGTCTGAGCAGGATGATGATGCTGATGAGAGTGAGTGGAGGAGGCTTTAGCCCCGGCCGTGTGCTGCTGCTGCTGCTGCTGCTGCTGTTGCTGCCCCGATGCAGCCTGGGGACTCGCGTTGCGGTGAGAGGTGCTGGTGGTGGTCGCGGGATGGTGGTGGTGTAGGTGGTGATGTTGGTGCGGGGTTGGCGCTGGAGGTTGCTGCTGGGGCTGGGGCACGTAAGGGTGAGGGTCCCGCAGATGACGGTTCTCTCCGATCAGATCTTCCACCTTTCGCTCGAGCTCGTCGATGCGCTGGCGCTGCGTCTGGATGAGGCTCTGCTGGTTCTGCACGATCGTGGTGAGCTCCTTCAGGTAGAGCACGGCTTTCATGGGGTTATCTAGCAGACTCTCCATCACTGAGCTCGTGTAACCCGCCTCAGGTGTTTGCTGGATGGATATAGCACTGAGAGTGACCCCTCTGCTCCGGTGTGATGCGCTCTGCGTGGATACACCTCTGAACGCGTCGCTGCTGTTTGCTGATGCTGAAGCAGGCGGCAGGAGCATCAGCCGAGGGGCGGGGACGTAGTGAACGAGTGACGCAGGCACGCACGGGAGACGCTCTTTCTGCAGAAACCACGGGCCACATCCAAATTCAGCAAAACTCATACATCCTACATTGTCCTCTCTTATCCGTCCTTTTTCTTTAAGTTGACCTTTTATGAGTTAGGTTATCAACTAAAGATGTGGTCAAGTAAAATGTATCACCTTTATACGTTTTAATGCGACATAGATCAAAATTAAAAGGAAAGTCAAGGAAGAAAAAGGACTGAAGCGGCTCTAATGGGACAGTGTAATTCAAATTGAAGATGTAGACCTGTGCTGTAATCAGTTAACTGAGATTCTATCAAATACTATACAGAAATTTACATGTACTCTGAAGAACAATAAGAAAAAACATTGTTTGCCCTGGATAAACAATGATATTCATCAACTTATGAAAAAGCGTGACCTGGCACTGAGAAAATCCTTAAAAAGTAAGCTACAAACTGATATCCTAGTCTTTAAAGGATTAAGAAATAAAGTGGTGAGTGAATTGAGAAAGTCACAATCTTGTTACTTCATGCAGATGTTTGCCGATTCTAGGGGAAATAGCTCACTAATTTGGAAACATATTAATAAATTAACCAATCACACACTTACTTCAGGACATTGTATTTCAAGACTTAAGGTAAATGGCATGGTTAGTGATGATGCTTCACAAATTGCAAATGAATTCAATTCATATTTTATTAACTCTGTTCAACAACTTGCAGTCAGTTTTATTCCAAAAACGCTGCAATGCAACGATGTGGAAGATTCACCCTCATCTTTTCACATAACACAGGCTAATCAAAATAAGATACATGAAATCATCAGCCACCTGAACAAGTCAAAAGCAAAAGATATTTTTAACTTAGACACCTCTTTAATCAAAGGGCATGTTACAACATTGTCAAAACCAATATTACACTTAGTAAATCTATCAATTAAATATGATAAATTCCCACAAAGTTTTAAAACAGCTGTGGTGACACCAATTTTTAAGTCTGGTCCAGCAGACGAGGCATGCAATTATCGACCAATCTCAATTGTGCCAATAATCTCAAAGGTACTTGAAAAACTGGTGGCTGAACAATTGATGACCCACTTAAAAGAAAATAATTTATTAAATCCTAAACAATTTGGATTTCGGTTAGATGACACACATGGCTGTGTGTCATCTAACCGACATGATAAAATGTTTGGACCAAGGCAAATGTGTTGGAGCAGTATTTTTAGATTTCAGAAAAGCCTTTGACACAGTAAATCATCTAGTCCTGCTGTCAAAATTAAAAAAATTTAATATTTCAAAACAAACCATAAATTGGTTTACATCATATCTTGAATTGAGACAACAATGTGTTAAAATAAATGGTACAAAATCTGATATACAAAGCTGTGATCTGGGGGTGCCACAAGGATCCATTTTAGGTCCGCTGCTTTTCAGCTTATATATTAATGACCTGCCTAACATTTGTAAAGAGACAACTTGTCAAATGTATGCGGATGACACAATAATCTATGTGGCGGCAGACACCTCTCAACAGGCCTCAGAAACATTAAACAGACAGTTAAGTGAAGTATCAACATGGGTTGAAAATAACTGTTTAACTCTGAACTATGATAAAACTGTCTCAATGTGTTTTTCTCTGAAGAAACAATCACTCAATGAAATTGAGGTCAGCGTTAATCAACATAAAATAAAACAAGTTAAGGAGTTTAAATACCTGGGTGTTATTTTGGACCCTAAGTTAAGTTTTGATGGGCATGTTAAAAAAATGACTAAGACCATAAAAAGAAATATAAATTGTTTCAGGTTGATTAGACCCTGCTTATCAGTTCAAGCTGCACGAGTTTACATGCATGCTATGATATTATCCCACATGTCTTATTGTGCCATTGTCTGGGGTCAGGCCACAAAGTCTGTAGTGCAGCCTTTGTTATCATTATATAAACACACACTCAAAATATATGATCGAAAGCCAATGAAGCATCATCACTGCCAAATTACTGAAAAATACAACATGATGAGTTTTGATAAATTTATACATTTTACCTTTTTAAAAGCTTTGTTTAAGTGTCTTAATGGATTAGCCCCTGAAGTAATGTGTAAAAACATCCAAAGGTGCAGCAGTGAGGGTGTGCAGACTCGAGCTGCAGTCAGTGGGAGCTGCAGAGTGAGAAGGTGCCGGACGACTCTGGGTCAGTCTGCATTCTCGGTGAAGGCATCACATCTGTGGAACTCTTTGCCGCTGGAGCTGAAGTCACAGTCGGACACTAGACTTTTCTCCACTACAGTAAACTGAAAAAGTGGCTTAAGGAAAATCAGAAGTGTGAGCACTAAACCTGAATGTAGTATGGACAAATGGGGTCAGTTATTTTTATTGATGTGTGGTTGTTCTTTTCTCCCCTTTTAAAAAAAAAAAAAACTTGTTTCTTCGCTTTCTCCAAAGCTCTTTGTGCATTCGTGTGGGTTAAGTCCGGATACCTTAGATTACTGTATACCTGTAGTCTCCTTTTCCTTTGAAGCCACGTGACGGGGTCCTCCTCTAAAACTGCAAGCTCCCAAAACCGGACGTGTGTCATCAGGGGCCATAATAGACCATGAGGCATTGCTCTTTAAAGGCCATGACATTAAATCAACTTGTACACAACTCAAGAACATGAGAAATAATCCCAAATGAATCAAAAACGTAATGCTGCTGTTCCCCTCTTATACGCACACACCACCAGAGAAAAGTCTCATGGCATCACAGTAAAGTCCGTCATCCATGAAAAAGTTCTCTACGGGAATAAATTAAGTGCACATTTATTTTTATTCATGACGATAGCTATTTGTAACCATATTAATCACCTTGTCTACAGTTTACAACAGCTGGGTACCTGTATCATAATAGGCCTTATTATTATTTATAATGATACAAAAATAAAGGAGAGGGGAGGAGAATGCAGCTAAAGGGAAACAACTCAAGTTTCTTATAGAAACAAATCTCTGTCAGCTGTCAGTCACTCGCCAGACCAAAGCCACCAGAGATCGTCTCAAGTCCACCACATCCCATCTACACAATAAATTTGGCTCAATATGTCCAGTTTTTGTGCAATCCTACATCACTGTAGAATCTGCGTGACAGCAGAGGAAGACCTTTATAAAGGGCACAAATGAACTGGAAGAATAGTCAAGCTCAGTTGATGTTTGGATGTTTGGATGTCAGGGCCATAAAGTTGTCTTTAAAGTCAAACAATCTACTTCAGTTTTTTTCCTTGGCTCTTTCATCTCCTCTGTATTTGACTACTCAATTCACTTGGTAGCTAGACCTTTGTCTTGTATTTGTCAAACTGTATTTCGTTCTGATGAATGAGAAATAGAAGTTTGAAATTAATACTTATATTAACCCAAAAGACCCAAATGGGCAAACCTTATCAGGACATGCCTCACACTTTGAACACATGGTCAAGGAGATTCTAATGTTAATTAATTTTAGATAGCTACATGAATAATAAGACAAAATAATTAAAGTCCAGAGATTAAATGACTGCAAAGATCTTTATTAATGACCCTGATTGAGATAGCAATTCATAATCTGACCTTTTTAAGCCATTTATCAAAAAGAAACAACCACAATGTTTTCATTTTTTATTATATTTATGTAATTCAGCACTCAAATCTCAAGCCATTAAAAACCTCTGCATAATCCGCAGCTTAGTAGTACAGACACATACAAATGCCAGTGAGGAATGGATTAAACATTTTTGTCCTGCTTTCCTGTTAATACAAAATTACAAAATTAATTACACTTTTTACAAACATATTGTCTTGTGTAAACATATTTTTTTATTGTTTCAATTACTTAACTTGTATGCTTTAATGACATGGTACACACTAGTTGCGGTTGGTCCATAGACTGTATAAGGAATAGAACTGTACAAGTTCTATGAAGCCTAATTGAGTGCTCATGGGAAAGTTTTACTCACTCTTTACCCATGCCTCATACAGGTGTTTAATGTGCTACATAATCCAGGTGTTTTATCATGATAGTGTCTCGGTGAATCCAGATAAGACCATCACATTTTGGTTCTGCTCGCAAGTAGCACAAGTGAGTAGAAACCATAGACTGCAACAGGCTCTTTGGTTGCGATAGGTTGTTTCCACCAACATATTTGGCTACAAATTTTGCAATAAGGCAAGCACACTACGGGTGAGGTCAGCACTTGACCTCAAGTGACGGACAAGGTAAAAAAGGGCCACAGAATTTTGTGTCACAATCAAATACAAATGTCAGTATAGTCAATAGACAACTGGGTTCAAGCGGCTAAGAGATTTATTGGCAGATTTCAAGTTGGTTGGATGATCCAAGGGCTACTTTGGGTTAGCAAGACAGAGAGCTCCATAAAGTTACAGTTTGGGCCACAATTAGCCCATGGGCCGGACAGAAAATAAAGCAAATATTGTTTCAAGGTTTGATGAATAAAACTCATATTATAGGACAAGGACTAGTTATTCCACAATATTCAATACAAAACAAACCAGTAATGCTCAATATAGATACAATATTGCACTCATTGGTGTGGAAAAAAAGATGTCCATGGACTGCCATCTACTGGATTTCTCTTCAAATGCATCAAGTCATCCATGGCCAATGGAGCCCTGAATTGAATGCAATTGGGGAAAGTAATCTATTTACTCTAAAAAGAAAATCATGGGGGCTCACTGCGTCCTAAAAAGGGAACCGAGAACCTGCCAGTTGTTCATCAGTGCAGTGGGAAACTGAATGAAAGCAGATAAGTTATTTGCGCTTTACTTTAACATAAAGCTTTCAATGTATCATTCACAAAGTGTGGGGCTGTTCTGTAGACAGACCATCAAAGGCACGGCTGGTGACAACAACGGCTGGGGCATAGTGCTCTCCAACATTGTCTTTGATCATGATGTAAAAATGTGTCCAGTATGATGAGGAAAATTGTTAAAATACACTTTCTAATTTAACCAACTGGTCTATTCATGGATCAAACACACATTGTGTATTTGTTCCATCATTTTGCTATAAAACAGCAAGTTGTGCAAAAAGTTTAAAACACATTGTCTAGAAAACAATAAGGATCCATTAAGTTCACTTGCGAAAGTTGTTGGGCATTTGAAGTGCATCCTGGAATTGTATTAAGTGTATCAACCTATCGTTCCAACAGCACATTCTTCATTCAAAGTTTGAATCACAAATGCAATGATTTATATCTGAATAAATTTGCTTGATTAGAAGATCAAGATACACTTGCTAATATGCACTGACTCAACATCAGTAATGTCTCTCTAACGCCTAGTCTCAACACACCCTTATGCAATTATACATGATTTTTCATCTTTTGATTTTGTTGGCGTTGTTTGGGAGGTTGGTTGATAGGTTGGTCGATAGGTTGGTTGGGGGGTTGGTTGGGGGGTTGGTCGATAGGTTGGTTGATAGGTTGGTTGATAGGTTGGTTGATAGGTTGGTTGTGGGGTTGGTTGGGGGGTTGGTCGATAGGTTGGTTGCGGGGTTGGTTGGTACTGAAGCACATACTCAGGGTAGATCTGCTGCTTTTCAAACACAACAAAAATGGAGGGGTTGGCGATATCGTCCACACAGCTGTCGTAGAGATTCACATTGCTTCCATCTTTGGAGGGAGGTCTTTTGTAGTTAGAGTGACCTCTGGTGTACTCTCCGACCAAAACTCGAGACACAAACATGGAGCGGACATGAGAGCTCCCAGTGTAGCTGTGGGAGTACTTGGCATCACGAGCAAAATAACTTCCTACAAGAGAAGGAAACAATTTCACACAAAAGATATGTCTAAAAATCTATATTTTTTAATTATACCTTGCAACAAATTTGGGAAGGATACACCATAGCACTAGCTGGTATTGTATGTCTTATTTTATATTCGGATATTCTTCTACTGACCTTGACCATAAACTGTCCCATTGACTCCACAGAGTCTCCAATCAAAGTTTGTTGCACATATAGTTTCTACATGTGCAGGTTCAGTCCCATGGAACAACTTCTTCTCTGACACAGCTTGTCCCTTATTCTTGTTTTTCATGTGATTCTTTTGTCTTAAAAAATGTAAGCAAACATTTGTTATTATTAGGATAAGCAAGACAGTAGAGCATTCTTTGAAAAAAATACATACAGCTGAAAGGCCTCCCAAACAGATTGGTTTTGAATCCTTTCAATTTTCAGAATGTCAAATCCTTTCATGGTTTGACTGAAAAGATTTTGGATTTCTTTATACTCAGCATGAGATGGTTGGAGATCAATGCACTAAGAGAATAACACATCATAGGATCAATGTACATTATAAATCTATCAATATTATTAGCAAAAAAAGATCTGTACTCTGTGTTCGGTTGTGGAAACTTGTGTTTTGTCCCAGTATTCTGGAACACCAGTGGGGTTTGTTATAAGTTTCCTAAAGGCAAAGAATACATAAAAATAAAAAAAATCTTCTCTTACACTTCTTACACTTCTCTAACACAATGTTGAACCTCTTTGTCCGGGCTTCCACTGCAGAGACAAACTTAGGGCGTCTCCTTACAACTCTCTTAGTGCCGTACTGTATATTAGTTTGAATCATATCTAAGAAAAAAAAGAAAGATGTTGGTTATGGTATATAAGGTGACAATGCTCTTGACAACTGAAATGATTCCATTTATACCCTGGAAACTGAGTTCATAGGACTGGTTACCAGCTTTGAACTGGATAACAGCCGTGCCATTTTTTAGATACATTTCCTCCAGGTGTCGACTGGTGACACTGGTGATCTGATGTTCACTCGTCTAAAAATACAGTAAGAAAAACATGTAGATGCGTAAAGCCTAGTTTATACTCGCGCGGCGCGGAGCTTACGGAGGTGACGTGACGTCACTTGCGCAACGCGTTGGTCACCGCAAGGCCCTTACGTCGCCTGCCGCGCAGCATTGAAATTTTCTAACTACGTAAGGGTCGCCGCAAGGAAGCTCCGCTGTGATTGGTCCGTGTGTGTGTATTGGAAGGAAGCATGAAGCGGCTGCAGCAGGGACAATGGACGAGGCACTATGGAGCAGAGAGCTTTGTGCTTCGAAGGAAAAGCAGTTTGGGCTCAGAGCCTGATATACAGGAGACAGTGGACTATCTAACATATATATAACTTATATAGATGTTATATATATGTTAGATATAACTTATAAACTGTGCAGTCGTTTGTTTTGCACTGTTCCTGTCTTTGTTTTAATTGTAGCTGCGTTTGTTGCTTTCCTCCTGCACTCGTGAATCGTTCATGTTTGTCTCAGATATTTACCACTATTATTGTTTTGCTGTTTGTGCTGAAAACTATTTAATAATAACTATGTTTCCAACAAGAACTGTGTCTTTATTCACAGCATCACAGTTGAAATGACTTATAAAATAATGAATCCATAAAACTATCACATAAACCTACAGTAGAAACACGTGTAATGAGCTCAAACAGCTTTGTTTGCTATTGTTGTTCTGAAGAGGACAAAGTAGCAGCGTAAATGGGACCGCTCCTGTGTGATCGCCCTCATGTGGTTTGTTGTGGGATTACAACATTCTCCTCAAAACTCCGTAAGGGGAACGCGCCAGTATAACATCAATTGTGCTTACGTAGGTCCACCGCAACCGCTAACGTAAGCCACGCCGCGCAAGTATACACTAGGCTTTAATATTTGTAGTTTGCTTCGGCTTTTTGCATCAACACAAGAGACAGTTGCTTACATTGGCACCATACTGAAGCCACTTTCCGCTGTTGTCCTCCCAGTACCAAAGCCAGTCAGTCGTGTGAATGAAGTTTGGCTCCTGGACAGAGTTTATGGTGGAGAGACGTCGTACATCATTTCCTCCACACTTCATTGTGTCAAAATACACAGGAGGGTAGGTGGTACTGTGAGGAGATACAATTTGATCAAATAAAAACATTTGTACATATATATTTTTATATATAGTGGGGCAAAAAAGTATTTAGTCAGCTACCAATTGTGCAAGTTTTCCCACTTAAAATAATGACAGAGGTCTGTAATTTTCATCATAGGTACACTTCAACTGTGAGAGACAGAATGTGAAAAAAAATCCAGGAATTCACATTGTAGGATTTTTAAAGAATTTATTTGTAAATTATGGTGGAAAATAAGTATTTGGTCATAACAAAAATTCAACTCAATACTTTGCAATATAACCTTTGTTTGGCAATAACAAAGGTCAAACGATTACTATAGGTCTTTACCAGGTTTGCACACACTGTAGCTGGTATTTTGGCCCATTCCTCCATGCAGATCTTCTCGAGAGCAGTGAACACGGACTTTTAACTCCCTCCACAGATTTTCAATGGGGTTGAGGTTTGGAGACTGGCTAGGCCACTCCAGGACTTTCAAATGCTTCTTACGGAGCCACTCCTTCGTTGCCCGGGCGGTGTGTTTGGGATCATTGTCATGCTGGAAGACCCAGCCACGTTTCATCTTCAAAACTCTCACTGATGGAAGGAGGTTTTGGCTCAAAATCTCACGATACATGGCCCCATTCATTCTTTCCTTAACACGGATCAGTCGTCTTGTCCCCTTATCAGAAAAACAACCCCAAAGCATGACGTTTCCACCCCCATGCTTCACAGTAGGTATGGTGTTCTTGGGATGCAACTCAGTATTCTTCTTCCTCCAAACACGACAAGTTGAGTTTATACCAAACAGTTCTACTTTGGTTTCATCTGACCACATGCCATTCTCCCAACCCTCTGCTGTATCATCCATGTGCTCTCTGGCAAACTTCAGACGGGCCTGGACATGAATTGGCTGCAGCAGGGGGACACGTCTGGCACTGCAGGATTTGATTCCCTGTCGTCGTAGTGTGTTACTGATGGTAACCTTTGTTACTTTGGTCCCAGCTCTCTGCAGGCCATTCACCAGGTCCCCCATGTGGTTCTGGGATTTTTGATCACCGTTCTCATGATCATGTTGACCCCACGGGATGAGATCTTGCGTCGAGGGAGATTATCAGTGTCTTGTATGTCTTCCATTTTCTGATAATTGCTCCCACAGTGTATTTATTCACACCAAGCTGCTTGCCTATAGTATTTTCACTCTTCCCAGTCTGGTACAGGTCTACAATTATTTTCCTGGTGTCCTTCGACAGCTCTTTGGTCTTGGCCATAGTGGAGTTTGGAGTCTGACTGTTTGAGGCTGTGGACAGGTGTCTTTTATACAGATAATGAGTTCAAACAGGTGCCATTAATACAGGTAACGAGTGGAGGACAGAAGAGCTTCTTAAAGAAGAAGTTACAGGTCTGTGATAGCCAGAGATCTTCCTTGTTTGAAGTGACCAAATTTTTTGGTAAATAATTACCAAAAAAATTCTTTAAAAATCCTACAATGTGAATTCCTGGATTTTCTTTTCACATTCTGTCTCTCACAGTTGAAGTGTACCTATGATGAAAATTACAGACCTCTGTCATTATTTTAAGTTGGAGAACTTCCACAATCGGTGGCTGACTAAATACTTTTTTGCCCCACTGTATTTTATACATATATTTTTTTTACATATATGTAAATCTACATTGTCTTTATCAGTGATGTGAACAAGCTTGTGATGCATTTCAGACTGGGCTCTCTACAAGTACTTGAATGATACAATACAAACTGTTTTACTGAATCTAAAAATCTCCAATCAACATCCATGATAATCATCAACTCAAATGATAAAACAGAAAATGTTATCATTTTTGTTTAACCAAATGCACAAAGATTTTGTACAGTATTTTTTAGTTTGGGAAGATGTTTTTCCTTTGCACTGGCACAAATCAACAGTACCCAGGCTGCCATTTCACCATCAAAATCCCTGTCAAAGCCAACAACATTGTATGGTCGGATATCACAAGCAGCCTTCAGCAGTACTTTACCTGTATATGTTTCCAGGCTCACAAAAAGACTGTTCAATCCTCTCATTCTCCTCCAAAGGACTCCACACGCCGTCCTTATTCATCTCCCATACGTACGGCATTTTAGAATGAGCTTTGAAACATCGATCTAACACATGTCCATCAAAGCACACGTGAGTGATTTGTGTCGTATGAAAAGAGAACAACTTTTTGTATCCCACCTTCATGTTTGCAATGTCCCTTGATGAAGTACATGCAGATTTCCGTTTTATTGCTGTTGTCTTTCCTATCAACTTTATTCCCAGCGGCCTGCATCCCTCCAGATTTTATATTTTTACCCCTGCCTCCTCTGGCTCCTCTGGCTCCTGTGTTTTCTCCTTTTCTGCCATGTCCCTCCATAACATTCTCTATAACAGCAGCTTTGTCTAATTCACAATCCAAAAGGCTGTTGAATAAATCACTTTCGTCGTGACTGGGGTTGTTCAGTTGAAAATTACTGTTAACAAAGCTAAGTGAAGCAGCTGGTTGGTCACTAAAAGACAGTATATCGTCTCTAAACCCAATGTCCCCCTTTCCACCTCTGAAATGCCCTCTCCTCCCTTGACCACCTCGGCCCCTATTTTGATTCTGGTTTGCTCTAGAAGCAATGTTGGAGCAGTCAGGGTCAACATCTACTCTAGAAGCTGCTCCTTGTTTACCCGTATTTCCTTTGTTTCTACTATTGCCTGACTGTTCAGCGAGCCTCAGCGCCTCTTTATTTGCATAAATGGACTTCAAAGACGTGAACAGACAGGCAGGGATTTTCTTATCCTGCAGGACTTTTAACGGTTGCGCAGACATGAAGTCATGTGTCCGGAAGCAGCTGCAGTCGTGACTCAGGAACTTCTGACAGATGTGCAGTCTCTGGCAGCTGTCCTGACATCCATGATGGTTGTTGTAATTAAAGCAGATCTTTGAGAAGAGAAACACACAAGTCACAAAGTGCTAAAAAAAAAATCAAAAATATGTCAAAAAGAAACACAATTACATCAAACTCATGTTTACATAAAATCTCCCTCCCCCCATATCTAACTTCCCTCAGAAAACCTACGACTTCAGACCACTTCAAGCAGTACATTTACCATACAATCATCTCCTTGGCCCTCTTAGTTTAAAACGCATAAAACTTTTGCCCTTACCCTATGATTGTCTTCTGATATAATGGGCAACCTTGGCCCATAGTGCAATGCAGATTTCAACCATCTCAAAGAGAAACACATCTGATACTGTACACATGATCTTACTCATACACTGTAACGCCTGTCTGTAGTAGTTGCCTGACTGCTAAATGGTTCATGTTGATCTAACTATTAAGTGGAGTGTACAATCTAATCTAAGAATAATGACAGCTGGAAGTGTGGATGTAGACAAATATGGGACAATCTTGGAATAAAAGACTTACATTTGCATTGAGGCAGATGGGTGATAACTTCTGCACAGCACTCCTGTTCTAAGGGACCATCACTGGCCCCCAGTTCAGGCACAGATCAACTTTCTAGTCTGGGGCTATAATATAATGTAATTGTGCCTCATGAACCTATCTCAAATCCTTGGACCTCAACCTTATGGCTGTTTCTCATGTGGTGCTGAAGGTGGGAGAAGCAGCTCCGACTTTGAGCTCATTACGTGTAAGCTCACTTGTAAGACTGACATCTTTAGACTCATCCCTAGAGTCATCTCTGGATTGTGTCATTACGTTCTTTTGATCTGTTTTGTGGCATTGTCTCTGTGGGATGCTTTGGGCTGCTAAGTGTTCATGTTTTCTCTGGAAATTTAAGTATTTTTATGGACTTAAAAAAAAAAAAAAATTGTTATGTTGTTAAGCACACTGTGTTACATGTGCTTGAGAAAGTTATCTACCTACAGCTTACTAGATGTCTTATAATCAACAACTCATTTGATATGTTTCAGTCCGGCTTTAGACCCCACCACAGCACTGAGACTGCTCTCGTTAAGGTTACAAACGATATCCGGCTGAACACTGACGCAGGCAAAGTCTCAATCTTAATCTTGTTAGATCTGAGTGCTGCCTTTGACACTGTCGACCATGAGATCCTCTTACAGAGACTAGAGGACTGGGTTGGCGTCGCTGGCACCGCCCTAAGTTGGTTTAGGTCTTACCTTGAAGACAGGAAGTACTTTGTGGAGATTGGAAACTGTGTCTTAGATCATATGGCCCTGACCTGTGGAGTACCACAGGGGTCGATCCTGGGACCTCTTCTGTTCAATCTTTACATGCTGCCGTTAGGTCAGTTAATACGCAGAAACAAAGTGTCCTATCATAACTATGCAGACGACACTCAGATCTATGTCTCACAGACTGCAGGAGAACATGGACCAGTGGACTCACTCCTTCACTGTATCCAACAGATCAGTGAGTGGATGCAAAACAACTTCCTTCAGCTAAACGCAGACAAAACTGAAATGATTGTCTTTGGTCCCCAGAAACAAAGAGAGAGCGTCATCTGTCACCTACAGTCTCTCTCCCTAAAACCCTAAAAGGTCAGAAATCTAGGGGTAATACTGGACTCAGACTTAAATTTTAATAGCCACATCAAATCAGTAACATCAGCAGCTTTTTACCATCTAAAAAACCTTGCCAGGATCAAAAACATAGTGTCTAAAGCAGACTTGGAGATTCTTATCCATGCATTTGTCTCCAGTAGGTTAGACTAATGCAGCCAGCGAAAGTTCAATTTGGTAGACGTCAGCCAAAGGTAACCCCTCCAGGCCGGTTCTCATCCCCAGCCTATCGCGCTGCAAACGCCCCTTCCAATCACCGCACCGGCCAGGCAAGCCGCTTAAAAGCGGAGAAACTCCCACTCTCTGCCTTCTCGAAGCCTTGCATGAATCGTTCTGGAGGAATCGCTTTTGTCTACTCACGCTTACTCCTGCGGTCCCTGCTGTCCTCTGTCTTGCTGCGTGTGGTCTGCTCTTCCTCCGCGTCGCTGCACCTGCTGTGGGTCTCGTGCTGTGGTCCGTGGGTCTTTGCCGCTCTCCTCCTTTGCGGGCTCTTTCTGCGGGTTCGCCGCTGCTCGTCTCGTCGCGGCCTGCTGCTGCATACGGCCGGTCTGGCCCGGTGCGGTGGGGGCTGTGCGCATCCCTGCCTCCTCGTGCCGGTACGGTCTGGTCCCGTTGTGTTGTCCCTTGTCTTCTGGCGTTGCGGGTAAGTATGAGATCTGCGGACGGGTTTTTCCCCTCGCATTGTACTGCAGGCTCAGTTGGCCCCGTGCATGGTGGGCAAGCTTCAGTTTAAAGCCCTCGCATTGTTCTGCAGGCTCTCTTAACCAAGCTCCGTTTAAATCCTTCACTCTGACTGCAAGCTCCGTTATTCCTCACATTGGACTGCAAGACCTCAGTTTAATCCCTTACATTGGACTGCGCGCTCTCAGTTTTAATCCCTCACTTTGGCCTGCAGGCTCTCTTAAATCCCTCTCTGGACTACGAGCTCTGTTTAAATCCCTCTCTTTGGACTGCAAGCCCCGTTTAAATCCCTCTGGACTGCGGCTCCCAAATTGAATCCCTCACTTGGACTGCGAGCTCCCAGGTTAATCCCGCACGGATCTGTTATATCTGGAACTGCTTATATCTGGAGCTGTTATACCGTACCCGGAACTGCTTCATGCGGAACTGCTATATATATGGAACTGCTTATATATGGAACTGCTATATATGGAACTGCTATATATGGAACTGCTATATATGGAACTGCTTATATATGGAACTGCTATATAGGGAACTGCTATATATGGGACTGCTATATATGGAACTGCTATATATGGAACTGCTTATATATGGAACGGCTTGTACACGGAACTGCTTATATGGAACTGCTCATATTGGAACTGCATATATGGTACTGCTTATATCTGGAAAGCTCATATATAAAAATAAATAAATATAAATAAATATAAATAAATATAAATAAATGTAAATGTGAATAAATATAAATATAAATAAATATAAATAAATATAAATAAATAAATAAAAAATAAAAAACTGCAGGCTCTGTTGGATCCCTCCCATCGTTTAACTCCCTCACACCGGACTGCAGGCTCTCCGTTAAACGCCTCGCTTGGTCTGCGGGCTCAGTTTTAATACCTCACTTTGGACTGCAAACTCTATTTAAATCCCTCACATTAGACTGCAGGCTCTGTTAGGTCCCTCGGCGTCTCGTGTCCCGCAACCTCTTCCCGGCTCTCCGTGAGCCCCAAGTCGGCACGCGGCTCGGGCGCGGGAGGTGTCCGTGGGCTACGTCATTGGCCCCTTCTCTCCGTCTCGCTCTAACCCGATGGGCATCGCCACCCGCAAGCACTCCAGGAAGAAGCGTCTCATACTCGTCCTCTCCTGTCCCCGCTCCGGGCCCGCCCGAGCATCAACAGCCCCTTCCCTCCAGCGCCCTTCTCCCTGCAGTCCGCTACCGTGGACCACGCGATCAGGCTGATAAAGACTTTCGGCCCCGGCTCCTGGTTCTCCAAGGCCGTCATCCCGGTCGCGTTCAAGCTGCTGCCATCCACCCCGACCACTGGCGCTGTTCAGGGGTCAAGTGGCGTCGGAGTTCTTCGCAGTGCGCCTCACCTTCGACTGCCGGAGTAGTCCCTCTCGTTCAACAATCTCTCGGAGGCGCCGTGTCGGATTCTGCTTAATTTTGCGCGGCTCCCCCCTGTCTCCATCTCCCCGATGATTCCCTCATAGTCGACCCACCCTCAGACTGCTCCGGGGGCTCTCTCCGCAAGCTCAGGCCCGCCTTCTCTGCCCTCGGATTCCTCCACTCCGGAAAGCCCACAGGCCCCGCCAACGCTCTGGAGTTTCTCGGCATCCGCCTCGACACACGCGCCATGGAGGCCTCCCTCCCGCTGGACAAGCTCGAACGCATCCGCGCTTTCTCCCGGTCTGCCCTGGCCTTCCCGTCACTTCGAGGCGTCCTTGCTCTCCCTCCTCGGGCATCTTCATTATGCCGTCTGTATCATTCCCCAAGGTCGTTCTTTTAATTCCAGACTCCTTCCCTCGCCGGCTCCGTCCCCTCCCTCGATGACGCGTCTGCCCGGACGCGGGGCGCTGCTCCGACCTGGCGTTCCGGTCCTGTTGCAGAGCCGCTGGGATGGTGTATCTCTCTTTTTTTTTTACAGTGACATCATCCTGTTTCAGATGCCCCGCGGTTCTTCACGGACGCAGCCCCGTCCGTGGGTTTTGGGGGTTTTCCAGGACCAGTGGCTCGCCGGGCCCCGGCCCGACGCTTTCCCTCGAAGCATCTCCTCCGCGCTCCACGAGATATATCCCGTGACCGGAGCCTGCGTGCTGCGGAACCATACGCGGCATAGGAAAAGGATTTCCGTGACGTGCAACAACCTCGACGCCATTGAAATAATTAACAGAAGTCGTTCATCCTCTCCCCAAATCACACCCTCCTTAGATGCATCACATGGCTCTCAGTCTCGAACAATTTATCATCACTGTTCGTCACGTCCCTCGTCACCTAACCGTATTGCTGACTCTCTTGCAATATAGTCATAGCTCGGTCTGACACTTCTCCCTGTCCCTACAGATCCATGATGCATTACACTCGCCTCCGCTCTCGGAAAGGAGATCTCAACGGACCGTTATTCTTACCCCTGATAACCTCCCTATGTCCCCCAACTGGTTCAGAGCCCAACTCAAGTCCGTACTGCTGCTTTGTAAACTGTCTCCCCATCTCTACACAGCCCACTCTTTCCGGATAGGCGCCGCCACGCGCGCCGCGTCCCTGGGGCTCCCCCATTCCGCCCTCCAGCAGCTGGGCCGCTGGTCATCATCGGCCCTCTCCTCATACATCAGGCCTGACACTTCTACCATTCTGGCAGCCCAGCGGCTTTTGGCATCTCCTTAAAACGCTCGCTAAACTTTCTGGTGGCGGCAGCAGCTGAGTATCCGCAAGTTTGGTCACAGTAGATAGCGTTCACAGTATATAGTGATAGCGGTCACAGTATATAGCGATAGCGGTCACAGTATATAGCGATAGTGGTCACAGTATATAAGCGATAGCGGTCACAGTATATAGCGATAGCGGTCACAGTATATAGCAAAAAATGGTTAGCGGTCACAGTATATAGCAAAAAATGGTTAGCGCACGATGGTCATCAGCATATAGCGATAGCGGTCACAGTATATAGCGATAGCGGTCACAGTATATAGCGATAGCGGTCGCAGTATATAGCGAAAACGGATAGCGGTCACAGTATATAGCGATAGCGGTCACAGTATATAGCGATAGCGGTCACAGCATAGAGTAGCCCCGACGTCTGTCCCCTCCAAACCAGGCTGCAAAACTCCATCAACTCACAACCTTTTTGGGGATTGGCACGCTCCATCGCAGAGCCCCTCCGATCTGAAGGCCGCACCGGGGCCTAGGGCGCCAAACCTCCTCCCAATAAAATACTCAAAAGCTTCTTGTTTCACGTCTCTCCAAATTGAAATGCAGCCAGCGAAAGTTCAATTTGGTAGACGTCAGCCAAAGGTAACCCCTCCAGGCCGGTTCTCATCCCCAGCCTATCGCGCTGCAAACGCCCCTTCCAATCACCGCACCGGCCAGGCAAGCCGCTTAAAAGCGGAGAAACTCCCACTCTCTGCCTTCTCGAAGCCTGCAACCACCGCCTCCCCTCCTCCTCCTCTTCACCCTGCCTTCAATCCGCCTTCAATCTGCTTCCCGCTGCCAAATGCCGCCACCAGTGCCTAGGTCCCGGAGGAATTGGCACGCTCCATCGCAGAGCCCCTCCGATCTGAAGGCCGCACCGGGGCCTAGGGCGCCAAACCTCCTCCCAATAAAATACTCAAAAGCTTCTTGTTTCACGTCTCTCCAAATTGAACTGCAATGGCCTGCTCACAGGTCTGTCCAAACAGGCTGTAAAACAGCTGCAGTACATTCAAAATGCAGCAGCTCGAGTCCTGACTAGAACCAGGAAGTACGACCACATTAGTCCAGTTCTCAGGTCTCTGCACTGGCTTCCTGTGGCTCAGAGAATAGACTTTAAAACAGCTCTGCTTGTGTACAAGTCTCTCCATGGCCTCGCACCAAAATATATTAGTGACATGTTAGTCCCATACGAACCAGCCCGGACTCTGAGGAGCACAGGGACTGGACTCCTGTTAGTGCCCAGAGTCAGAACTAAACATGGGGAGGCTGCTTTTCAGATTCATGCTTCTAAAATCTGGAACAGTCTTCCTGAAGATGTGAGACAGGCCTCCGCAATGACAATGTTTAAAACCAGGTTAAAAACAGTTCTGTTTAGCTGTGCATACAACTGAGGGATTTTATATTTTTATCTTTCTTTTTAATGTTCTGTGATTATTTATGATTTTAATGCTTTCTTATTTTGTTCAGCACTTTGAATTGCCTTGTGTATGAATTGTGCTATATAAATAAACTTGCCTTGCCTATAAATAGTGATTTACAAATACACAAAAAATAAACATGTAGCTTTCACTTCACGATTGTGAATCCATTTGTGTTGATCTTGTGTATGAGTACACGTAAAGCAGGTACTGCGTAACAAAAGGAATTGATAGTAACCACTTGGCTAATAGTTTTGTTCAAGCATCTGTACATACAGCAGGCAGAAGATTGATGTTGCTCTGGAGGAGCAGCAAACACAGCTGGGCCCTGGTCAGTGTCTCCAGACCAAACTCTGTAAGGATCTTCTCATTGTAGCTTGAGAGGATCTCGTGAGAGAATATGCACCCTCTTCTGTGGAATAAGACTCAGTATCAGAATAGAAATGCTATTCAGCACTCCTGTCTGTAAACAAACGAAGCATTTCAGCTCATTGGTTTGCTAATCCCTCTATCCCCTCTTTCGACAATATGAACATGTGTTCTACGTCATGGTGCTACGTCCCTTAGGACTTCGCTAGTGGGATATCACTCGTGACCCCCAGGTCACACGCCAGAGAGATCAAAATAATTTGCTCCAATCACCAGCCACCTTCCTCTATAAATGCCCCTGCACAAGGCCGCACCCCCTCTTTCACTCTGGCGCCGTTCGAGATCTACCACAGTATTCTGAGATGTCTTCCTTGTTCGTCCGAGTTCCCTTCGCCCTCCGGCGTCGGACGTCGTCACTGGATCCAGACGGTGGAGGACTTCACCTCTGTGGGCGCCACCACTCGAGGGAGGAGGAGGATAAAACCCACGTTGTGCCCGCGGATGGACCCGTTCGTCCATTACGCGACACGTGAGTGGCCTAAGCCCCTAGCAGCCAAGAGGCCTGCTCTGGGGTACGACATATACTGCAGCGGGCAGGACTGGTCCTGGACCGGTGATCGAGGATTCAGTCCGCATGGCCCTGCAGCCCTCCGCATCCGTGTGGCCCGACATCAGACCTCTCCTTCTCTCCGAGCGGGACAGGATGTCTTGCCGAGGCTGGATAGATATTATGCCAATGCGGCACAGGTCGTCACATTGGCTAACAACATGACTTTCATCACGGGGGCCCTGGATAGGGCGCTCTCCTCTGGCCAGGCGCTCAGTGGAGACCTCCTGTCACAGGCGAGGACCACCTCGGCGGCGTTCCTGCGCATGTGCCAGACGCTAGCCGTGGATGGTGGCCAGGACACCGAGGATTCAGTCCGCATGGCCCTGCAGCCCTCCGCATTCGTGTGGCCCGGCACCAGACCTCTCCTTCCCTCCGAGCGAGACAGGATGTCTTGGCGATGCCGGATAGATGTTATGCCATTGCAGCACAGGTCCTCGCATTGACTAACTACATGGCATTCATCACGGGGGCCCTGGATATGTTGCTCTCTTCTGACCAGGCGCTCAGTGGAGACCTCCTGTCACAGGCGAGGACCACCTCGGCCGCGACTCTGCGCATGTGCCAGACGCTAGCTGTGGATGGTGGCCGCTCCATGGCAGCAGCCCAAGTCGGGCCAGGCACCTTTGGCTTGGGCTGGCTAATATCAGGGAGGCGGAGAGGAGGCAGCTGCTGGACCTGCCCACCTCTCAGATGTCCCTCTTCGGCCCGGACATGCAGGCCTGGGTGGCGAGACTGGAGTCTGCAGCTAAAGACTCGGCTAGGCTAGCCCCGCACCGAGGCGCGAGGCCCACCAGCCATTACGGAGCCGGGACAGAGGCAGAGAGCGTTGGCCCGGGAGGCATCCTGACCCGTATCCGCGCTCTGTTATCCATCGTCCCCCCTTGACGAGGCCCCCGGGTCCAGACAGACCCATGGGTGGCTCGCAGGAGCAACGCACCCACCACCGACCTCCCTATGGTAGAGGAGGCCGGGGTGGAAAAATTTTTCCTTCAATAAAGGCCGACCGGCATTTCCATTACTTTTCTGAGTCTCATTTGGGGGTATGTAACATGTCAAATATTGTGAATTCTGATTGTGTTACTTCCCGGGCACATAACGTTGCTTCGCTAGGCCTGCAGCCCCAGAGAGGGGCGTGCAGTGCACTACGAGCTCCGGTTTCTCTGATCCATACTATGCCCTCCCAGAGAGAGGTCAGGCGGAGGGGTCTGGTGAGTGATATGTGTGTGCTTCGGCCGAACGCGTGTTAGCATTTCTGAGCTACAGGGCTAACACGGGGTTTTCCCACTCCAGGGGCTCGCCCCCCCCTCCATGAGGCAAGAGCCAGGGGGGGCACAGCAGCCGAGTCACGTGTGGTGAGCAGTCCCGTACTTATGACGTCGGGCCTGCAGGACACGTGACCGCCCCCGGCGCTCACGGTGTGACGCAGGGGGCCCCCCGGCCCTTTCGTCCACCCCCCCCCTCCCTGCTAGGAACACCAGGAGGGGGCGGGGCCGTGACGTCTCGTGTTCCATCTCCCGTTCCGCCCCTCACAGATTTATACAACATCTGGAGGGAGCAGGGCCTACTGACAGATATTTGGCTGGAGAAAACTCTGCGCAGAGGTTACGCGCTGCAATTTTTCCGAAAGCCACCACCATTCCGAGGCGTACGGGCAGTACGCTCTCAGGTACGGGGATCGACAGAGGCACTACACAAGCGGAGGTCTCCTCTCTGCTAAGTCGAGGCGCAGCAGTGGAGGTAGACCCGCAGGACGCCACCAGGGGGCTGTACTCCCCTTACTTCTTAGTGCCAAAGAAATCAGGCGGGGTGCGTCCCATTCTGGATCTGCGCGTGTTAAACGAGTGCAGTTCCAAACGGCAGTTTCGGATGCTGTCCACAAGGCAGCTCCTCGAGTGTGTCAGGGAAGGAGACTGGATGTGCTCCATAGACCTGACAGATGCGTACTTCCACGTGCCGATAGTACCGGAACACAGGAGGTTCTGCGCTTCGCAGTGGGAGAGAGGAATTACGAGTACTGTCGTTTTCCCCTTGGGCTACGCACTCGCGCCGTGGAGCAGGGGTAAGAATTAATCTACATAGACGTCGGGTTAATTCTGGCCTCATCCAGGGAAGTGGCCGTGAGTCATACGCACTGGGTCCTGTCCCACATACAGCGCCTGGGCTTTGTGGTTAACAGGGAGAAAATTAACAGTTACCTTTGTAACTTAAGTTCTACGAATAGGTGCACGTGATATCCCACTAGCGAAGTCCGCTAGGGGACGTAGCACCATGACGTAGAAGCAGGCTGCAACCGGCTCAGCGCATGATCTATCTCGGTCTGCAGCTAGACTCTGTGACATTCCGTGCTGCATGGTCAGTGGACAGACGGATGAACACTACACCGTCTGCCCAGGGAGGTTCTGGCGGGCCCCAGAGTCCCCGCTCGGCGCCTCAGGTCTCTGCTGGGAATGATGGCGGCGGCTCATGCTGTGGTGCGGCTAGGCCTTCTCCACATGAGGAATTTTCAGAGGTGGTTCTCACGCCTCAGGCTTCACCCCTCACCGGGACGGGGGGGGCTGATCTGGGTTCCCCAAGTGGCAGCATCGAACATCAGGTTCTGGCTCACACTCCGGGTCTTCTACGGGACGGAGTGACTCTGGCCGGCGCCGTGTCTCACGTGGAGATGTTCACAGGACGCGTTCGCTCGAAGGATGGGCGGGGTCCTCGGCCAGAGTTCTGTAGGAGGCTGCTGGTCGGACTCAGCCCGTCACATCAACCTGCTGGAGATGGAGGCAGTGCACAGGGTACTGCTGCACTTTGCTCCTCAGCTGCAGGGGAGGCACGTGATGGTGCGCTCAGACAACACCACAGTGGTCTCCTATCTGAACAGGCAGGGGGGCACCAGGTCCCCGCTCTCCATCGCATGGCGAAGGTGACGCTGCTGTGGGCGGCGCTTCACCTCCTGTCTCTCAGGGCGCGCCACGTCCCGGGGGTCCGGAACGTGGGGGCCGACAGGATGTCCAGGGGGGGGGGCCCACTCCAGGACGAGTGGGGCCTGGCCCCAGGGGTGGCTGCGGAGAGCTGGCGGAGGTTCGGCCGTCCAGTGGTCGACCTTTTTTCGCCAGTGCAGGAAAACGCACAGTGCCCGTCCTGGTTCGCCTCAAGGGCCGCGGACCAGCCGCCTTTAGACGTGGACGCTCTGGCTCATTACCCCTGGCCAGGGGGCCTGCTGTACGCGTTCCCCACCAGTGCGTCTCCTGCCGGTCCTGCTGCGGAGGATTGAACAGGAGAGGAGGTCGGTGATCCTGGTGGCGCCGGACAGTCCGCATGCCCGGTGGTTCCCCTTCCTGAGGGGCATGGCGGTGATGGAGCCCTGGGCCCTCCCGGACGAGACAGGGGCTCTAGTCCAGGGGGGGAGGAGCCCTGTTTTCACGCCCGATAATCGCGCCGCAGGCTCTGGGTTGGAGGCTGAGAGGCGGAACCTCGTAGACCTGGGTCTTCCCCCTGCGGTGGTGGAGACCACTCAGGGGGCGAGGGCGCCGTCCACTGTGAGGGCCTACGCCACGAGGTGGAGGCTCTCTAGCGACTGGTGCGGTTTTCGTTCCTGGGATCCCAGGCGTTGCCCGCTGGAGGGGGTCCTGGGATTCCTACAGGAGCTCTTTGACAAGGGGAGGGCTGTCGCCACCTTGGCGGTGTTCGCGGCAGCCATTACTTCGGGTCACGACGGATTCGGGGGGTTCACAGCCCGCTCTCATCCGTTGGTTAAAACGTTTTCTGCGGGGGGCACGCAGGAGGAGGCCCCCGCTCCAGAGAACGCCCCGGTTTGGGACCTCAGGGTGGTCCTTAGGGGGCTGTCGGGTCCGCCTTTTTGAACCGGCGGGCGGAGGCGTAAGTCCCGAGTGTGTCGCTTTAAGACGGCCCTCTTGTTGGCGTTGGCGTTGGCGTCTGCTAAGAGGGCGGGCGACTTGTGTGCGCTTGTGCGACGGCATGGTGGTATTGTGGCCCAATCCGGCTTTTCTCCCCAAGGTCATCACGTCGGCCTTTAGGTCGAGAGTCATCAGGATTAGGGCTTTCTATCCGCCACCGCATGCCTCCCCCGAGGAGGAGCGGCGGCACCTTCTGTGTCCTGTCAGAATGCTGAGGCATTACCTGGCCATGACGTCGTCATTCAGGTTGGGTGGCCAGCTGTTTGTGTGTCTGGGCCCCAAGAACAGGGGCGCCCCGCTGTCGGCTCAGCGGCTGGCGCACTGGGTTGCCACGGCTGTGCGGCGGGCGTATCAGACGCAGGGTCTGGCCCTCCCCCGGTGGGCTTCAGGTCGCATTCCACGCGTGGGATGGCGGCCTCTACGGCACCTTCTCAGGGGGGTGTCGGTCGAGGACGTATGCCGTGCGGCTTCTTGGGCTTCGTCCTCTCTTTCGTCGTTCCTCTCCTGGTCAGTATCTTTTGGATGTGTCGGTTTCCGGTCGGTGGCCCCATTCCGTGCTGAGTTGCAGCGGGACTGAGTGTAGAACCGTTAGGTCCCTCCTCTGAGGGGGCCTTCGGTTTACTTTCCGCCCTGGTTTCAGGAGCTCTTGGGAGAGGGCATTCCTACAGGTGCCGGTACTTATATTGTGTATTTGGTGTCGGTCTGGATAGTCCACGTCAGGAGTCCCTTGGGAGAGGCGTTCCTGTGACTACGGGTGATGACCTAATCCGATCTGTGTTACGTGGGGGTATCCATTGGTAGGAAGTGGCCCATGTAAACACGCATTGTATTCTTCTGTCCTGAGTCACTTCTCACTTTGTGAGGGTCTTGCTCGGCGCGGACCAGAGCTCCAATCACCCTTCGCTGGCCTGCTGGGAGATACAATTTTCCTCCTGGCCTCCGCGCTAGGTGTCCACTAGCGAAGTCTCTAAGGGACGTAGCACCATGACGTAGATTTAATAGTTTCTTAATGCTTAACTTAAGTTCTACGAATAGGTGCGTAGTCCCTTAGCTACGAGCCCATCAGGCCAGGTTTGTAGGCTCCCAGCGGCTGTGTGTGTGTATGTGTGTGTGTGTGTGTGTATGCGCGCGCTGCAGACCCCCTCCCTTTCTTTCCTCTCTCCCCCTTCCCTCGTGACAGTGGTATATTGCCACCTGTAGGCCAGGACCGGGCAGGCAACAACTTGGACTGGGATGTACGGGTCGAGCGCGGCGCAGTGCAGTGCCAAGCGCAGAGGACACGCAGCGGAGAAACCAGACGGGACCCAGCACGAGCACAACGGATCGACACACGGGACAGAAGCAAATACCGGTACCCCTT